AATGTGGAGAATGGTAATGATTACAATTTGTGGACCATTGAGTGGAACAAGCATGGGAAATGTTTTGAGTAACAACTAAAACAACTAGACCATTTGGAATTGGTAGGACAAATTTTGGGCAAATATGACATGATATTTTTGTTTAAAAAAAAAAAAAAGCAACTTGTCCTGAACAACTAGGAGGTTGACAAAACTAAAGTTCAGCAAGCCATCCAAAAGGAAATTGGAAAAGCCCCTACATTGAATTATAAGGCAAAATATATTATTAAAATTGAATAGTTGGTTAAAGTTGTGTTGTGCCTAGACAAAATGGGGATTACACTTATAGACTATCCCAATAATTTGTTATTTAGTCAGCTTCCTTATCATTTAAATTGTGCAATTCAATATTCATCTTCCTTGAAAATGACCTACACCCACATGCAACTTCAATTTGCATTATATATACCATATCTCATCATCACTTCCCCTCTTGATCATTCTCTTAATCATCCAAGCCTCAAGAAATAAGGTTGTGCCTTGCTCATATAATAAAATAATAATAAATTAGGATAATGATACATTCACCACATTCGTTACACACGCTCACTCCGTTAGCCTCATGTTCGTTGCTATTCACCATCCTCACTAGTTCTTTGTATTCTTCACTTGGAATTGCATGCTAACCCAGTTCTCTCTCCTTTCCTTTCTCCTTCTTTATGTTCACCATCCTCACCAGATCCATCTTCCTCCTCACCTCCATCCTCATCCTAATCATCTGTAGCCTTATCTTCCTCTTCTTCATCATTGTCATTGGTTTCACCGGCATATAACATGAAGCTGAGCAAGTGGGAACCTACAAAGGAACCCAGATCTGGTGTTGGGGAAAGGGGAGGGAAAATGAAAGGATTTAGAGGTTGAAGATAAGGATTTAGGAACCCAACAGCTTGGAGGCTTTTTTAGAGCTTCGCACAACCACTCCAAACAAGACACAAAATTTTCAGTTGTTCAATTTCTCCAACTTCCTAAGTAACGAAAGGGAAATTTTGAAAAATAAAGGATGAGATACGAACCACCAAAAATAAGTGACAGCATGATCAAGCTTGAAAGTGAGCAAAAGCATGAAAAAGAAGAGAAAGGCATGGGCTACAAGCGCTTAAAGCGACTTTGCCACTCTTTTCCAACTCATCACCCTTCTTCTCAAAAAAGCAAGATGTATTTGCAGACAATTTTAGAAGTTGATTCGAATTTTCAAGACAGGAATTGAATGGAATTATCAGGTGGACGACGGCATACAAGTTCAGAAAAGCAGCTGCTGCTAGGTTCCTTCGATTGACCCAGCAACCACTTGGCAAAAGAGAGAAATTGGAA